ATCAACCAAATATTCAACCAAATGAAAAATCAAGTAATAAAGTTCCAGAACTCGATGAATTTGCAGAACTTGCGGAACCTGATAAATTTGCAAAATCTGATAAATCTGCAGAATATTATGAATTGACAGATCTTGCTTTGAATGAAAACTATAATAACAAGACCTCTTTGAAAGAATTTAGCTAATTTTTAGACATATAGGTCAAAGTATCGACAAGTGAAATTGAGAAAATTACACATATATATAATAAGAATATGATAATTACTTCAAAAGTTAAAAATATTGTTTATCTAGCAATAAATTCACAATATAAATAAGATTTAAGGACCCTATTTGATGAATTACAATTGTTCTTTAATTAATATATATATATATATATAGGTCTGTATCATTTTACCAACACTCATCTCACCAACATGCCATTTTACCGACAATCAATTTACCGACAAGTTTATTTCACCAACAATTATTTTACCGACAGCATGTTTCACTAACAAATTTTTATTATAAATTACACTAACCTTAACTCTAATTCTAGCTAGACCCTAATGACAATAACCAGAATTACTTTGTTAGCGAAATGACTATCAATGAAATAATTGTCGGTAAAATAAACTTGTTGGTGAATTGATTGTTAGTGAAATGGCATGTCGGTGAAGTGAGTGTTGGTAAAATCAAACAGAGCCATATATATATATATACATATATAAGCACTAATCAAAGTACCTCTTTTTCAATATCACTCTTTGAGATCTCTATTAAGTTTTTTAAAATTTCTAGACTGCTTATCATGAATACAAAGTATGTATATAAATGACACAGACCTACTACTATATAATATACTCAGGTTTTTTGTATTTTTTGATAACTATTTTGTATTAGACCCTGGCAATGTACTATGGTATTTGAATTTCAATTATTATATATAGTCAGATCTCTCTAAATGCATAGCCGAGAGGTGGCAAAAAATCTTGCATTTAGAGAAGTATTGCATTTAGGGAGGTAAAAATCTACAAGTATTATATGAGTTGGGGCAAAATAAAACTATGTATGTTTTTAGAAAGGTCTTTTATAGACTATGCATTTAGGGAATACATATGTATTTAGGCAGGTCAAACTGTATATTTTATTACTATCAAATAATAAAATATTTAATTGATGATTCTCCAGTGAGCTGATTAATTATCTTAGTATAACACAACATGGTTCTATATATAAATCTCTTAAAATAAAAATGTGGTATTTGTGCAAAGAAACCCTTTTTTTTACTAAGTAAATTATCTTTGGGCTTCTAACAAAAGTTGTAGAGCTTATCAAGATGTATCTAATGGTAGTAAGAATATTAAAATTAGCTTGGTGGTTCTTGAGAAATCTTTAAAAAACATTTCAATAACAATATAAAATCTTCTTTAAAAAAATCAATTTTCTTTAAAGAAATTTTATATGTTAATGAAATATTTTTTAAAGATTTCTCAAAAACCACCAAGCCAATTTTAATGTTCTTACTACTATTAGATGTGTATTGATGAGCTCTACAACTTTTACTTAGTAAAAAAAAAGTTTTCCTTGTGTGAATGCTATATTTCTTTAAAAAATCTCTATATTTCCATCTATATAGAATTGTATTATATTACACTATGATAATTAATCAGTTCACTGGAGAATTATCAATTAAATTTCTTTTTAGTTTAGATAATATACCCAAATCTGACTTATTAATAACAATTAATATTCAAGCATATAAACTTATATGTATTTTAATGCAAAAGGGACTCTAAAAATATTTCATAGTAGGATAGGTTATTTGAAAACAATTTTGAGATAAAAGGTATTTACTTATAACAATAGCAATATCAAATAGCATATCTCAGTAGATACAAGCTAAAAAGTTAATAAGTAGTTTAAACTAAATTTAATAGCTCTATTCAGGGTCTAATTGTCAAAAATTAGTCCACATCAATATATGTTAATTATTTATTCTACATGTATTTGATTACAAAATAATTAAAATTTGTATTCTTTAATAGTGAAATGTTGTATAAATAAATTAACAAAAAAACAACCAAAAATGAAGACTACTCGAAAGAAGGCGTAGAAGACTTTATCTGAAAATCAAGGATTCTACTGCCACTAGGATCCCCTAGTTAGATGGTCTTTATTAATTATGATTTTTATTTATCTATCTATACACTCGTTACCCTTTAGTTACATGAAACTGATAGGTTTATATAAATTACAGATTACATTGGTGCTTTGTTACTACAATCATAATCTTACAAGCAATATGACTAATTAGAGTATTAAAAAATCTATGCTAATAATAGGCAATTCATACACAATAACTTTAGTTCCCATCATGTGAATACTAGAGATACCTTATTATTGTTCTCAATAAAGTATTGCCTCATACCAAACCTGAATTAGTATTATTAAATATCTTCGCTTTTGTTAATCACTACGCATTTCAGATTCCAAATCATATAGCTTGGAACATATTTTCGATAACTGTGGTCAAGTCACATTATACTATTACAACATCCAACCATAAGTTGCTAATAGAAGTTAAACTTATTTAGAATTAAATAAACATATTTTGAGATCATTTAAGTGAAGTCTTGTTGAATATAAACATGAAACATTACCGAAGCTATTCTTGTATTATTTTAAAGATCTTTACCACATACCATAAATAATACTGTGGTTTTACATGATCTACCCTTTGATATTGTCTCTAGTAAGAATTTTGGATCTTAAAAAAAAGAATTTTGGATCTTTGAAACCAAGATCTTGTTAAATACAAAATACAAAAAGTTTCAAATATTATTTTTATAATACTTTAAATTGTATTACATAACTTAACCAATCAGCATAAGTTTTGCAATAATCACATTTTTAATAAAATTATGGCAGACATTGTCCAATGTCCAATCATTTGATTGGTCATTCTACTTTGAGCTAATAAAATTACGACAAACATTAGACAATATCTGCCAGATATTGTCCAATGTCCAAGCATTTAATTGATCATTCTATTTTGAGCTAATAAAATTATTGTGGACATCAGCAAAATTTAAAAGGTGCTATATATCGATAGTAATCCCCTAGATTACAATCGATATACAACCTCTTTGCTGATTATTATCATTAGTGATTACTAACGATATATAACAAAAAATTCGTTAAATTTTTTTAAACTTTAATGTTAATTTTCTCGATAACTATCGATCCAAATCGGCTCAAATTTTTACCACATATAGTATATATATTCAACTATAATA